CTTTGCGAAGTAATACGAATATGCGTCAAAACTCCTGTCTCGAGACCAGTCGTCAGTTGATACTCGTAGGTTTCTTGGGCATCTAGCGCAAATGTCTTTCCCGTAAAGTCTGCACTACACATCAAAATCCGCTGATGACAGTAATTGCAGATGCAGTTGGAGCCGTAGTCGCTACTTGAAAACTATATGTTATAGACCCAGCGCCTACAACTATCCAGTCGTTGGTAGCGAAACCGAAGCTTAGACCAAGACCTCCACTCACTGACATCGTGTTAGCCGTCACGAGATCTGTTATGCAGCTGGCACACAGCTGACGAGTCAGTCAGTGTGATGGAAGTTTGGACGAAGAAAGCGTTACAATTGCCATCTGCCTGTTTGACGATAAAAAGTCTGCCTTTGCGTTCCACTCCTTACGGAATGAATCAATTATTTCAAGTCCCGACCAGTGGTTGGGATCACGAAACGCAATCGTTATCGAGGCTGCAATGAACTCCAGAATATTAGACACTGCACCACCTACGCCAGCTCCTAATAGCTGTGATGACACTACTTATGTTGGTGGTCCTGGTGGCTGCCGTGTCGTCGCTAGTGTTCCAGCTGCGGTACACGACTCGATGTCCGGCTCACAAACAAACGCTGCAGTTTGAGGCGTGCCATAGTCTTTACAGTTCTGCGCCCGAACTCGAACTGAGTACTGCTTACCCGGTGTCAGCGGTTTAATTATTGTCGACTGAGGATTGTCGGGGCAAGGCAACAGAGCCCGGCACTGATCTCTTACTTTGTATTTGAATGAACGAGAATCGGCAGCAAGCATATACAAACAAACACTTCATTGTGCAACAGCAACAGCACCAGCAATTGTCAATAGTATTGTACGATTAGTTGACGATGACAGTTTGTATTTTCCTAAAAAATTCACATATTTACGTAAAGGATGGATTCTTGAAGACACCAAAAACCTAAACACCACACATAATGAGAGATCTTAGCTATCAGTCCAAGGCCACTAGAGAGATTTGGGTGGTGCTTTGATTAATGGCTCAATTAATATACAACCAAGAGCAATAATTAGTGTAGCAAAGTGTGGATATTTTGCAACCCATGAGCCAGAATAGATTTCTAGGTCGGATAAACCCCACAATGGTGTTTGCGAATTTTGTCGAATATAAAAATTTAATAACATTTTATACGACCGGAGTAGCTAATTTATCAAACGTACGATTTGATTTGGGTTGGTCATGGACAAATAGCAACGTCGGCAGCTGATCGGATGCAAAATGTTGCTTTAGACTTCATTTCTGATCGCAGGTATTAAAAGACAAACGTTCAGGCGAATCGCGATCTTCGTGCTCGTGGGCGGAGGCTTGATGATATAATATTTGCAGCTTTAGCGCTGTAGCACTTATTTCAGTGTGTAAATAAAACCTTGCTTGACCTCAAAGTCGGCTTTAACTCGTGCAATCTTTCTGTTCTGCTCCATTCATCACCATCTCTGTTCGAACTTTAACTAGTGCATCTTCAATAAGCTCGATATAATCATTAGACAGTGACGATATTCGCGCAAGTATCAAAGCACGCTTTAAGCTATTTTCAGCCTTACTCCACCGCTTTGCC